GCCCTCCTTCCTTCCACGCCGGTCCCGGCAGGGGTGCTTGTGAGGGCCCCGCGGTGGCCCACGGAGGTCTGCCAGGACCAGCCTCGGCTGCTGACGCGCCTGGCGCCCGGTGCCCCAGAACACAGGTACAGCGGGGGCCCAGAACACAGGTACAATGGGGGCCCAGGACACAGGTACAATGGGGCCCAGGACACAGGTACAGCGGGGGCCCAGAACACAGGTACAATGGGGGGCCCAGAACACAGGTACAGCGGGGGCCCAGGACACAGGTACAGCGGGGCCCAGGACACAGGTACAATGGGGGGCCCAGGACACAGGTACAGCGGGGCCCAGGACACAGGTACAATGGGCCCCAGGACACAGGTACAATGGGGCCCAGGACACAGGTACAATGGGGCCCAGGACACAGGTACAGCGGGGCCCAGAACACAGGTACAGTGGGGGCCCAGGACACAGGTACAATGGGGGCCCAGGACACAGGTACAGCAAGGGACCGCGTGCCAACAGCAGGCCGGGTGGAGGCCCCGCACCCTGTCTGATCCCCAGGCCCACTGTGGCCGCCTCCGCCCCCAGCCCTGCCTCGACTTCCCCAAGTCCAGTTCTGCATCTCAGCCCGTCACCACGCCTGGGCTAAGACCAGCACACTGGGTTTACCCTGCATTCGCCTGTGTCCGGCCACCCCCTCCCCGGTCTCCCCCCCTCCAAGGGAGAGACCAAGGGCCTCCTGCTACACCTCTCTTTCTTGTACCAACAAAGTCTGGGGGAGCCCAGGCTGGCTGTGCACCCCGCCTCCCCCCACCCCCACAGATTCCGTGGCAGCCAGGACCAGATGAAGGGTTTGCTGGGCTGCCACCACAGGAAAGCTCACCGGCCAGTGCCAGCAAGTGCCACCGCCAGGCTCAGAGTGGGCGACTTGGTTTCTGTGTGTCCATTTTCTTTGCTACTTCAGCAAGCCACGAAAGGTCAGGCCAGCCACCTCTGTGGGTTCAGCAGAGCTGCGGCCGGCAGCCTGTGCGTGGCGCCCGCCAGCACTGCCCGCCACCACACAGACTCCAGCCTCTGCCAGAACTGCGGGGAAGGAAGGGACTAGAACCGGCGTTCTGACTGACCTGACCCAATCACAGGCACCCCCTCCTCACAGATCACTCTGGGACTGTAGATTACTGCAGCAGACGTGCAGAGCAGGCCTGGTTCTGGTACTTGGGCAGCCTAGAGACTGAGTCAGGAAGTTGAAATCCTAGGAATCCTTGTGGAGGGAAGGAGCGGGGCTGCAGTAGCTCAGAGGTGTGAGGCGGCGGCCGTGGGGGGGCCAGGCTGGGGGGCTGGTGGTGGTTTGGTGGGAGGGGGGTGTCTCTGGGAGGGGGGTGTCTCAGGCTTCTCTGCATGGATGACCTAGAAAACTTCTAGGTTTGGGCCTTGTGAAGAGATGCAGGGCACAGCCACCGGGGTTGGCTCAGAAGTGGAGGAGGGCACACCACTGGTGGGCAGGGGCTAAGTGGGGAAACCGCCAGGAAGTGGTCTTGCGGCCAAGTGCTGGGGAGAGGGAGCCACGGGGTGTCTTTAAGGGATGCAAGTCAAAGATGAGAAGCCTTGAACCTGGGCTTCCATCTCCTCTGTTCCGCCTGGCAGAGGAGTCTTGGGTGAGTGTCTTCAACCCTGGCCTCCGCCTGTCACCTGGGAGGCGACGACATGGAGCACCTGCCTGGCACCGGGGCGGTGGATACGGGGCGGTGGAGGCCAGGGCGGTGGAGGCCGGGGCGGTGGAGGCCGGGGCGGTGGATACGGGGCGGTGGAGGCTGGGGCGGTGGAGGCTGGGGCGGTGGAGGCCGGGGCGGTGGAGGCCGGGGCGGTGGATACGGGGCGGTGGAGGCTGGGGCGGTGGAGGCTGGGGTGGTGGAGGCCGGGGCGGTGGAGGCTGGGGCGGTGGAGGCCGGGGCGGTGGAGGCCGGCTGTGATACAAGGCACTCGGGGCCCCTGTGCATGGCAATCACAGGCAGGGCCCAGGTCCTCTCTGGGTAGGTGGTGGGGTACCGGCAGCCTCCCCCTTAGGCTTGAGGGAGAGCAAGTCTGGGAGGCCAGTGAGGAGCAGACAGCAGAGCCGCCCAGCGTCTGCGCAGTGCCAGGGGCAGCTCTCCCGAGCATGGAGGCAGGGGTGTGAGGGAACAGCTGCTGGCCAATCGCGAAAGCTCTGTGTGTGTTTTCCTCCCCAGGATGACCCCTCAGGGGAAGGAGTCCTGCCACTGGCCCTCAGCCCACACCCCTCCACCTTCCACCCCTGCTTCTCCATGGACCTGCCCGTCTGCGTGCTCCAGGTCTGTTCTGTCTTGAAAGGCTGCTGCGCCCCAGGGCTGGGCAGGTGGGCTGCCCCGCGGCCTCTGTGGGGCCCCCGCTGGGGGTCATTTTGGAAAGGAGGTCAGAAACTCAGCCGCATCACTGCAGCTCTGGCTCGGGGATGGACAGGGTGGGACGCAACCTGCTCGCGAGCTACTTCGCGCTTAGTAGTGAGAACTTGTGAGCTGAGTCATCAGGGGCTGAGGAGAGACAGTCCTGAAGTGTGTAGTGCGTATCAGAGCTGCTGGCGCTGCTCTGCCTGGCACACCCACTAGCGAGACCGTTCCTAAAGAAACGAGGCCGATCATGCCCAAGACATGAAGCTGCTCATCAGCCTGGGTGAAGATGAGCGAGGATGCTCCCCTCTGGAGCTGGGTCTGGGGTCCAGCCAGCCGGGGACAGCATGCACGCCTCTCGCCACCGCCTGTGATGCAGCAGATGGGCCTTCACAGAACCGCAGCACCTCCCTCCCTTCCCCTCCCCCTCTCCCGCCCTCCACACACACTGGTAGACAGGGCCAGGGCTGCTCTCCACAGCCCATTTGCAAGGAGGGTTGTGACACTAAACAAAGACAAGCCGCTCTGCAGAAATGCACACGGGTACTTGAGCCAAGCGCCAAGACCGAGGAAACATCTAGAAAAATTTGTACAATATTGAGGACGTTTTGTCACTTTTCTTTAATATTTGATAGTTTTCCTTCAAGGAATGAAAGCTGAAAACAGGAGGAAAAAGGCTAGACACGGCTAAGTCGGCGGAGCGCTTGCCTAGTGATAGCACAAGGCTGTGTCCAAATTCCCAGTCCTGCCGATAAAAGAAGATGGAAGAACGTGTTTCTGTGCCAGCACTGGGCTTTGAACTCAGGCCCTTGTGTGTCACTTGGCTTTTTTGCTCAAGGCTGGCACTACGTCAGTTGAGCCACAGTTCCACTTCTGCCATTGGAGATAAAGAGTCTCACAGACTTTTCTGCCCTGGCTAGTGTCAAACGGTAATTCTCTGATCTCAGCCTCCTGAGTCACTAGGACTACAGCCATGGACACCGTGCCCAGCTCCTGCATGGTGCTCACACCGAAACCTCAGCTGCCGTAATGCCGCTGGCTCCTCGGTCCTCAACGCTGGGGCTGAGACTCCAGGCCAAGCCTCTGTTTTCCTCCCCCTCCCCATTTTCTCCTCCCTTCCTTCCCCTCCCTTCCCTTCCTCCCTCTGTCTTCTCACTCTCTGCTTGGTTTTGCAGGAGGCCCTTCCAGCACCCATGGGCAGCACCGGGCCTGAGGCTCCATATGTGCCCAGAAGCACCATCAACCTGCAGGACCTTCAGTGACCACAGCTGCTGACTGACCAGCCCGAGACCACCTTCCTCATCCCTGCTCAGAACTCCAGCCTAACTCGTTTATCAAAACCCTTTCCTTCCATTTCATCAGCCAAGTCTGCAGTTTTCTTGGAAATCGCCTTTAAGGCAGGGGCGGCCCCCAGCATCTGCATTAACGCCCGCCTGGGCCTCTTGGATCTAGGTAGCACTTGTGTTAATTAGGCCTCTGCAAGGAGTAGAGCTCTGGCTCCCTGCTCATGTACAACTCCTAGTCCCCCAGAGTCTTCCAGTTCCTGGGTCACAGCGTTGTGCCTGTGTTCTACAAGTTCCGTCTCCTTTTCTGAGAGCGTGGGCAGCCTGGATGGTGTCTGTGTTGGTTTTGCCATAGGCTGTAGTAAAGCCAGTTCTGGCACATGTTCTAGCTGGGCAGCCTGGGGGAAAATGAGTGGGGTCCCGGTACCCGTTGGCCAGGGGCCTTCTTCCTAGACCAGAAGGGCAGCTCCCAGTTTGGGATGGGAGGAGTTAAAACTTGTAATTTTTCTAAATGCCGTGTTTGGAGGTTGTTAGTCATTTGGCAGTGTTTATAAAGTGATGTTCTGATTTCTCTAAATTATGTGTAGGACTGTCTTGAGTGCTTTTTGTAGTTGAGGTTGAAGATGTGCATAGACTATGTCCGTGTGTCTTTTTAGAGTAACGCCCTGTCTTGAGGAGGGAGATGAGTTGGTATTTATTTGGAACTGGACTGGACACGGTAGCTCAGAAGCCTCTTCGCCTCGTGCCTTTTGGTGTGTGTGTTCGGATGCTGTTTTGGTCCTCAGACCTGGAATCCTTCATACTCTGCCTGTTTCTGTGTATTGCATTTGGGGAAGATGTCACGTCTGAGTCTCCTCCCTCCTCCCTGAGGTTCCATGGCCGCCACCCAGCAACTTCACGTGTCATTAGGAAGAGGCCTTTCCACAGGTCTCTGCTGTGGCTGGGCCGGTTCTCCTGGGGCCTGCTCCCTCGTGGGGAGTCATTACCAGTCACCTGCTCCAGGACCCCATCTCACCGCAAGCCCCTCCTCCCACAGCTCCCCCCATAGCTCCCCCCGCCCCCGTGTCCCCCACCACGTGGCCAGGCGCTCCGCTGCAGCTCCTAGTGCAAACCAATAAAAGTGTTTTGTATTGGCTTCGCGTCAGGGCCTGTGTGTGGCTCGAGGCGCCCTGCTGGCCCTAGCTTCTGTCTTGCGGCTGGAAGGGGCCACGGGGCCGTGGGGCCTCCCGGCTCACAGCTGCGGGTGAGAGCCAGGCCGCGCGCTTCCCTCACGCCTGATGCCCAGGCGCAGGGGCAGCACTGCCGTCTTGACCGGGCCACACGACTCCACTGAGAAGAGTTTATTTCACGTGAGTGTGGACGCGCCCTAGGAACCCTGAGTATGGAGTCGGGGTCCTCAGAGTCTTCCTGGCCTCTCCATCCACAGCCGCCACCCGAGCCTTCGCCACGCCAGCGCGGCCGGTGGGACTAAGTGAAGAAGAACAGCAGCTCCTCCTTGTCCTTGTCCACCTCCAGGTGCTCCGACTCCTCCTGCACCTTCTCCACCGGGGGTTGGGAGCGGCACACCAGCTTCCGGCCTCTCTGCAGAGGAAGTGGGTGGCGTGGCGGGCCAGGCTCCTGCCCGCAGCTGCACACGGCAGGCAGACGCTCGCACACGCCCCATCCTCAGGTGTGGGAAGTGGGCCCCAGCCCCGGACAGCGCGCCGCGGGCTGCCTGGCAGCGGAGGGCTGCTGCCCAGAAGCAGGCACCAAGGCTGCCCCAGGGAGCGCGCTCTGAGGGGACCTGTGCATGCCAGGCTCATGGTGTGCCAGGCTAGCTGTGGGCCCGTTCCTGCAGCTGGGCAGAGCCACAGTACGCCTGCCCAGGTGCGCTTCGCAGAAAGCCATGCCCGCCTCCTGCCCGCCCCAGGGACCAGGCCTGCCGTGGCCAAAGCCAAAAGTATGATGGCTACCTCCACCCGTCCCCAGGGAAGGCCTTGGGACCCGACGGGTTCGGCAGTGAGCGTGGCCGGGGGTGTGGCTGGAGCGTGAAGGGACAGTGGGACCCCAGGCTCTGCGCTCTTGGTGCCAGCTCTGCACGCTGCACTGCCCGCCCGCAGTGGAGAGGCCTGGGCTGGCAAGTGGAGATGAGTCCTGGGGGAGGGGGCAGCCCCAGGGGACAGCAGGTCGGGGCACAGAGCATGCTGGGACCAGCCTCCTGCCTCCAAGATGCTGCCGGCAGGGAGGTCCTGAGCACTCAGATGGGGGAACCCCGAGACCCATGCACACCTTCTTCTTGATCTGAGCCTGCGCCCGCGCCCGCGCCCGCTTCATCCGTTCCTCTTGCAGAAGCATCTGCATCCTGGCCTTCTCTTCCCGCAGCCTGGGTATAAGAGGCGGCTGGCAGGGCCGGGGCCTAGCAGCAACCGCGCCCCACCTCCACTGGGCCAGTCTGGCCGTGCCCTCCCACACTGGCAAAAGCTCCTTCCAGCCAGGACCACAGCCCACAGCTGAGCACCGATCCAAGGAGGGAAGGAAGGCCTGGCCTGGGGGCTTGTGGAATTCACAGCGACCCCACATGAGTCATGAGCTCCTGGTCCATGAACCACCCATGACGGCGGGCACTTGTGGCCCTATTTCCTTCCTGTAGCAGCTTCTACTCACCAAAACCTTTTGCCTGCCATGAGCAGGGGGCTCTGTGAGCAGAGGACATGGCATGTGCAGTGGGTGAGAATAAGGCAGCAACGCACAAGCCGGGAGACCAGGGCCCTCCCCTACCTGGTCCAGGTAAGCCTGCCCACACCCACGCAGGTGTTCTGGCAGCAAGCTGGTGCCCACCTGCCCCTCCTCCCACTAACTCTCCCTTCTCAGACCCCACCCTGGCTTTACCCCTGTTCCCCACCCCAGTCCGCCGCCACCCTGGCCAGCTCCAGCACAGCTGGCCTGTGTGAAGGCCGGGGCCCAGGCGGGCGGGGCCTGCCCGCACCTCTGACGCCGCTCCCTCTCCTTGGCCTTCCCAGCCTGCTCAATCTTGGCTTGCGGCACGCGCTCCAGGTTCTCCAGCAGGTCGTCTAGCAGGTGTTCTACCACAGTGAGCATCTGCACCGTGCTCAGGCTGGTCTCCTGCTGTGGGCCCATGCAGCTCTTGTACACGTTCTGCACCTTCTGGTTCAGGCTCTCCAGCAGCTTGTCCTGCAGGGAGGCAGGGAGCCACAGGCCTGAGCCCCTCCCTGTACAGCCCACCAGCACCAGGGAGTCTCTAGGATGGAGCAGCCATGCTGGTGCTCAGTGCCATGAGTATTAGTATTCATAGAAACACAGACGCCAGGCTCACCTCCTGCCCCAGCCCCTTCCCCAGCTGCTTTGGTGAGCAGGGAGGCCTAGTCCCCTGCCCCAGGGGCCCTGCACTGGCACGGCTCCCTGCAGGACCAGATCCTGCGTGGCCTCCCCTCCCTGGGCCTGTCCTGACCTTTTCAAAACAGTAGACAGCTGCTACCATATGTGTGCTTGTATGAGAGCCACAGGGCCAGCCTGCCCGCTACTCCCACCTTCCCCGCCCTGCCTCAGAGCCCGGCATACAGAATGCTCCTGGCAATACTGAGATGAATCTAGAGTTGAGTGCATTTGAGCTGGGCACCAGTGGCACAATGCCTGTAATCCTAACTACTCAGGAGGCTGAGATCTGAGGATCACAGTTCAAAGCCAGCCCAGCTTGAGCAGGAAAGTCCGTGAGACTCTTATCTGCAATTAACCACCAGAAAACCAGAAGTGAAGCTAAGGCCCAAAGTGGTAGAGCGCTAGCCTTGAGCAAAAGAGGTCAAGGGCAGTGCCCAGGTCCTAAGTTAAAGCTCTCCAAGTGGTTCAAATGGTAGAAGTGCTAGCCTTGAGCACAGAGGCCCAGGGACAAAGCCCAGACCCTGAGTTCAAGCCCCAGGACTGGCCAAAAAAAAAAAAGGCAAAAAAAGAGCTAAAGGCATGGCTCAAATGATAGATGATTACCTGGCAAACAAGGGCCTGGAAAAATAAATGGCAAGAATAAAAGAACAAGCTTAGGTTTGGGGGCTGGGAATGTGGCTTAGGGGTAGAGTGCTTGCCTAGCATGCATGAAGCCCTACGGAAGCCCTATCTTCTATTCCTCAGCACCACATACACAGAAAAAGCCAGAAGTGGCACTGTGGCTCAAGAGGTAGAGAGCTAGCCTTGAGCAAAAGAAGCTCAGGCACAGTGCCCAGGCCCTGAGTTCAAGCCCCAGGACTGGCAAAAAAGAAAAAAGTGAAAAGAAAAAAAAACCTCCATGACTCACAAAAGAAAAGAGTTGAGTGGATTTAAATGAATCAGGCCCTAGGCATGCTGTAGGGCTGGGAATGTTCTGGACCCCTGGCCGGTCCTGCTGCCCAGTTACTGGTCCCCCAGAATTCTCTCATCCCCCAACCTGGCCTGAGGACAGGCCTCTCCGGCGCCTTGGGGCCATCTTGCTGGACCCAGGGTGTAGGAGGAAGAGCAAAGGGGTGGGAAGGACAGGGGAAAGGGGAGGCAGCATGGACATGGGCTGTTGCTTCCTGGCCCAGGAGGTGGCACTGGGACCTGCCTACCTGCTGATCAGCCTTATACTCCCCAAAGTGGAAGACGCGGGCTTTGAACTGCAGCTCAGCAGCCACCTCTTCCTCCTTCTCAATGGACTTCATCATTGTGGCGATCCAATGCTTTAGCTGCTTCACTTCCCTGTCCCTGGGGGGTGGGGGGGCGGGGGAGCAGAGTGCAGGTCACCTAGAGGCCCACATGACCCTCCCCATCTGATCACCATCCAGACTTGGACCTGAGAGCTACGGTACCAGCTCCGCGGTGTCCGCCTGCCTGCCGGGGCGACAGCTCCTCTGCTGCCCACCGCTACCTCGGCCTCTTCTCCTGTGACTCTCCCCTCTACCTAGCGTCTCTCGATGCCGACAGGTGAAATGGTGGGTGGGCCTGTGTGTTGTGTCTGGCTGTTGATGTAAGCTTGACAAAGATGGGGCCTTGCCTAATCCTTACGGGCCTTTGGCCCAGACTAAGAAGAGTGTGCACCAGTGTTTAGGAAGCAGGGCAATTCTCTGGACCAGCCCACACCAGCTTGAGGAGCCCCTTGGAGTGACTGGGAGGGGATGGTAATCTTGAGAGCCCGGCCTCGCAGGCGCTCCTGGTGCTGGGGCCCCTGCTGTCCAGCGTGCTTCTGCCCAGCAGGCTGGGGTGGCTCTACTGGCAGCCAGGCCAAGGGCAGCGGACACTTCTTCCAGGCCAGCCTGCCAGAGAGCCCTGCCATGAGCCATGGACAAGGTCTGTGGCCTCCAACCCGCCCCGGGACCCCAGCGCTCCCCGGAGTCCACTGCAGAGGCCCGGGAGGACTGACAAGAAATGCGGCCTCCTGGCGGCAGGCGGTTCCAGAGTGGGGTCAGCACCAAGGCCCTGCTCCCGGCCCACTCGAGGGGACACACGGAGCTCACGGCCAGGCCCCCACCTGGAGGCCGTGGGAGCAAGTGGCAGGCCCTGCTGGGGGAACTCGCCCAGCGTGCGACCTACATGCGGTTCTGTGTGGATTTCAGGGTGCGCGTCAGATCTTCCAGGGTCTCCTCCATCTCCTGCGTGTTCTGGATCAGGGATAGGTTCTGCTCCTCCAGCTGGGCGAAGATATCCAGGAGCTGCTGCGGGTCTGTGAAGTACAGCTCCAAGTCCTGCGGGAGGGGCGGGGCCTGCCTGGGTGGGCGGGCTTACCTGGGCAAGGCGGGACCTAGCTGGGTGGGCCCTTGTGGGCGTGGTTCGTCTGGTGGGCAGGGCTTTGTGGGGCGGTGGCGTGTCTGGTGGGCGGGGCATTTTGTGGGCGTGGTTTGAGGGGTGGTAGCTCGTCTGATGGGCGGGGCTTTGAGGGGCGGGGCGTGTCTGGTGGGCGGGGCGGCTGGCATGGCGGGAGGCTGGCGAGGGGAGGTGGGAGGGATTTCCTGGGTCTGGGTTGGTGGCGGAGCTGGCAGGGGGTGTGGCCCGGGGGCTGGGCCAACAGGGCGTTGTTGGGGGAAAGACACGGCCCGTGGGCCGGGGGCGGGTCGTGGCGGAGGGAGCAGGACGTCCCAGCCACAGACCTCCGCGTCACTGTCCCCGTCTTCTTGAATCGGTAGCGGTAGCAAAGAGCTGGACCTGCGGAGGGACGGCGGGGACGCCCGCACGGTCCGAGGACTCACTCCAGCTAGAAGACAGCTTCTCCACCCCACTCCCTTGCGCCGCCCCTCCCCCGGCCCGGCCGCCCCTCCCCGGCCGGGTGCGCCCCTCCCCGGCCGCCAGCCCCTCCCCCGGCTGGGTGCGCCCCTCCCCCGGCCCGCCCCTCCCCTGGCCCGGTCGCCCCTCCCCCGGCCCGGCCGCCCCTCCCCCAGCCAGCCCCTCCCCCGGCCCGCCCCTCCCCCGGCCCGGCCGCCCCTCCCCCGGCTGGGTGCGCCCCTCCCCCGGCCCGCCCCTCCCCTGGCCCGGTCGCCCCTCCCCCGGCCCGGCCGCCCCTCCCCCGGCTGGGTGCGCCCCTCCCCCGGCCCGCTCCTCCCCTGGCCCGGTCGCCCCTCCCCCGGCCCGGCCGCCCCTCCCCCGGCCCGGCCAGCCCCTCCCCCGGCCCGGCCGCCAGCCCCTCCCCCGGCCCGGCCGCCAGCCCCTCCCCCGGCTGGGTGCGCCCCTCCCCCAGCCAGCCCCTCCCCCGGCCCGGCCGCCCCTCCCCCGGTCGACGAGCGGCCGACACCCGGGACGGCCCTGAGACCAGCACGCGGCGCTGTTCCTCCTCCTGCCCCCGTCGCCGTCCCTCCGGGGGGAAGCTCGGTGCCCGTCTCCGGCCCCTCCCGGCCCCGCTGCCCGGGCTGTGGCCCCGGCCCCGCAGGCCCCCGGCGGCTCACACTTGCATGACGGCGAGGTCGCTGGGGTGGCTGCTCTGCTGCAGATGGCTGCTGCTGCGCACAGCTGGCTCCGCCCCCACAAGCTTGACCGACTTCTTCCCGGCCGGGGGCTCTAACGAGGGGCGGCAGGGGTCAGGGGTCGGCGCGGGCCCTGCGGGGGGGGGGGGGGGGTCCGGCGCTGGCCAGCCACCTACCTTTGGACCATTGGGAAGCAGCCTTGCTCTTGATTCCTGCTCCTAACCCTAGAGGAAATGAAGGAAGGAGCAGGGCAGCCTGGGTTCCTGGCCTCATCTGACTGTCCCACCTCAGGGGAAGGGAGGGAGGAAAGGAAGGAGGGAAGAAGGAAGGGAGAGAGGAAGAAAGAGGAAAGCCAGGAGGAAGGGAGGGAAAGAAAGAGGGAGGGAGGGAGGGAGGGAAGGAAGGAGGGAGGGAGGGAGAAAAAGAAGAAGAGAGGGTGGGAGGGATGGAGGGAGGAAGGAAGAGTGAGAAGGAAGGAGGGAGGGAGGAAGGGGGGAAGGAGGGAAGGGAGGAAAGGAAGGAGAGAGGAAGGGAGGGAGGGAGGGAGGTTGGTCCTTGGAAGGCAAGCCCTTGCTTGAATTGGGAGTCTGGTTTCTGGGCAGTCTTGGGGGAAGCGGGGAGGCTGCTTGTCGGAAGGGCCCTGCCCTGGGCCAGGGTCGCTCTCTGCCACTGGCAGAGCCCTCTCTGGGGACGGCCTGGCGTTCACTACCTTTGTCCTCCACTGTGGATGTGCTAGGTTTGGGGGCTGCAGCCATCTCCTTGGCCCTTTTGAAAGCCAGCTGCTTCCTGCTCTGCGCCTCCAGCCACTCCTCAGGCGACATCTTGTACAAGAAGTCCTTATACAACTTGCAGCGCTGTAGTGAGTCTTCGAATTTGGAGATTTCGCTGGGCCCAGGGAGGGGGCAGGAGGTCAAGGCCCATCCACTGTGACCTCCAGCTGGCCCGCCCCATCCCCTTGAGAGCTGGCGTGGGGGCCTAGCGCCGGGAAGGGCATCTGCCTTGCAGGCTAGGCGTCGGTGCCCAGGGGCACTGCCCTCTGGACCTGTGGGCTGCGCTGCTATGGGAGGTGCCTGGAGTCTCCTGGGCCACGCTACTCAGTCCCTGCAGCCCCTGGCAGCCTGAGTCTCCTCCAGCTCCCTGTGTAAAATGGGAAGTTTCTCCCCCGAGCCCTGGAGGTTTGGGGTCCCTGGGAGGTTTATGCGCTCTGCCCGATTATGGGTGAGGAAGACAGCCCAGCCATAGCCGGGCCTCTGCCCGCACCTCTTGATATTCATTATCTGAGTGGAGATGTCCCGGATCTCCACGATCTTCTCCATCTTCGCTTTGGTCTCCTTCTCAGCTCTGGGGAGGGGTGGGAGTCAGGAGGATGATCTCAGGCAGCCTCCACACACTGGCCTTGCCCTGAGTGGGAGGCCAGGCTCCGAGTAGGGCTGGAGCCTCACGTCCAGCGGAGGCTGGGTTGGGCTGGGCGCGGGTGGCAGGGCAGGCGGGAAGGTGTCCCAGGCGCCCCGGACACAGTGACAGTGGGGAATGCTGAGAGGCTCAGGCCCACAGGCCCAGGGGGACGGGGTAGCGTGGGGCCGGGCGCAGGGGGACGGGGGGGTAGCGTGGGGCCGGGCGCAGGCTCACACGCGCATGGCCTGCACGGAGCTGCGGTCATTCTCCTTGAGGAACTCATCAAACAAGGAGGCGTCCTTCTCCAGAGACTTCTCGGCCTTCTTCAGCCTGCCTTCCCGTGCTGCCAGCATCTCCAGCCGCTGCATCTCGTTCCGCTTCATTTCTAGGTTGTACTGAGGCCAGCACAGAGCAGGTCTCTGCCGCTGGCCGGGCCGGGCGCCTGGTGGGAGGCCCCCAGGCCGGGGGTGGGGGGGGGAGAGAGGAGGGCAGTCTACCTGGATGAGGAACATCTCTCGCTTCTGTTGGATGTAGCTGTTCATCCTGTCGGGCTCCACTTTCTTTTCTGCAAGGAGAGTGGCGAGGCCATGAATGCACACTCCCAGGCCGCTCCTGAGAACAATGCTTGTGACACCCGCACGGCCGCGGGTGGCCACGCATTGCCACGCCCACATTGCGAAGTGTGGAACCCCAGGTGCTAGAACTCCCCCCTGGGGATGTGGGGGGGGGGACGGGAGGGCACAGGCTGTGTGTCTGAACCCCCCTCTCTTGCCCTATGCCTCTGAAGAGCTGTGGAGAACCCTGTGGCCCCTGGCCTGCTCCCCTCCACAGGACCCTGGGGAGCCGCAGGATCTGTTCCAGAGCCACCCCGCCTTCACATACTGACTTTTTTTTTTTTTTTGCAGTGCTGGGATGGCCCCTGCTGCCAGCAGTGCTCTGCCCGCGCCGCCCCACCAGCCCTGGGCTGCCTGTTTGCTACCTGCCGCCTCCCACTCAGGGTGCCAACCATGTGAACTGAGCAGTTAGTCCGCAGCCCATGGTGCCCGGCTCCGCCAGGTATACGGGGGGCCGAGCCCCAAAGGGCGCCAGCCTCTGCCGAACTCGCAGGGCTTCCCGGACCCTTGGGCCATGGCGCCGGCACAGGCACCTTGGGTCATGGCGAGCTTCCAGGCTATGTTGTCCTTGATGGAGCGCAGCCGCTCCGCCTCGGAGATCAGCTCCTGGTCATCGGTGTCCTCCTCCATCTGCAGCTCTCGGCGGAGGCTGCCGTGCCGGGCCAGCAACTTGGAAGAGTAGGTCATCTTCTGGTGCACCCGCAGATTCTTCTTCTGCTCCCGCTCCTGTAGATGACAGAGGGGCGTGTGCTACCATGCATCTGCTGTATGGGGGCAGCAAGGGCACATGCCACGCCCCCCCCCTTCCTAACCCCACCCCGAGAGCACAGCTGCCCCTGGTTGAGCCAAGAGCCCCAGGAGACCAGGAGGGGCAGCAGCATAAACCCGGGACGCACGGTGAGTAGCCCCTCGCTGAAAGACCAGCCCTGTGAGCCAAGCTCTCGCTTAGCTGGGGGCCACTCTGCTGTGCTGAGCCATGGCGGGCCCAGGGCACTGGAACCTTCTGGGTTTCTCAAAGAACCAGAAAGCCTGAGGTTGCTCTGCTCTTGGCTGCTGCTGTTGGCCAGCTGGTAGGCCACGGGTGACCAGCTGTCCCCACTGACGGGCAGTGCCTGGCACCTCCCCGCCAGGCCTTCCCGGGTCTGTGATTTGGGCAGAGCCAGCTGCCCTCTGCCTCCCGTTGCAAAGCCCGCTGCCGCTAACAGCCCAACCCAGCCCAACCCCGCCGCACTGGAGGACACAGAGCCGGCAAGATGCCGCTCCGGAACCGGGTGAGGCAGGCTGCTGCGCTGGACTTCTGGGGGGAAGGAGAGGCAGCCCGGTGGGTGGGGCCTGCACTGGGTGCAGGGAAGGGCCATGGGGAAGGCTGGCGGCCCCCTGGGTCTGCGGTGCCCCCTGGGGTCTCTGGTCCTCCCTGGACCTGGGTGAGGGCAACCACAGGTGCCCCATCCTGGGGGCTGTGGACGTCTGCGGGACATCGGGCTTCTGGGGTTTGTTGTTGTTGTTGTTTTTTGGGTCCGGTTGTAGGGCCTGAACTCTGGGCTTCGGCGATGTCCCTCAGCTCTTCAGCTCAAGGCTAGCACTCTACCACTTGAGCCACAGTGCCACTTCCGGCTTTTTTTTTCTGCTTATGTGGTGCTGAGGAATCAAACCCAGGGCCTCAGGCATGCAAGGCAAGCGCTCTACCACTGAGCCACCTTCCCAGCAAGACATCGGGCTTCTGCTGGGGGGGAGTGGAGCCGTGTTGTTTGTGGGCTGGCTCCAGGCTAGAAGCCCTGCCTTTGGAGAGACAGGAGTGGCCTGGCTTTGCTGTGGAGGATGATAGGCAGCCCTGGCCACCTGGCTCTGCCAGGGGCGGTTCTGGAATGAGAGCAGCCCAAGGAAGGGGCGGGGGGGGGGGGGGGGGGGGGGAGAAGGAGGGGAAGGAACAGCCATGATTGATTGATCTGGGAGAAGGAGGGGAAGGAGCAGCCATGATTGATCTGGGAGAAGGAGGACCTGAGACAGAGCAGAGAGGGTCCACAGAAGGACCAGACACTCACCAAGATGGCTTTTCTCTTCTCCTTTTCTCTGAGCACGAAGAAATCCGTATCTCCGGACAAGTGGAAAGGATTGTCGCTGGCACTGTGCTCTGGGGACGGAGAGCAGCGCTGCACAGGAGCCAGTGGTTCTGTCTGGTTCTGTGCCCTCCCAGCCCCCCAAGGAGAAATGTCTTCCTGGACCAGGCTAAGCCTCAGGTCAACGCAAAGCTCCTCTAGCTCTGTGGTTTAAGCAGGGGTGGTGTTCCCACACTGTGACGTGGTAAAGGCTCTCGTGTAGAGATCACAAGCTGCATTGAAAGTTTTGAGAAATCGCCAGCTTGTGCCTGTCATCCTAGCTACTCAGGAAGCTAAGTTCTAAAGGTGGAAGTTCAAAGCCAGCTGAGGTAGGAGAGGCTGTGAGACTCTTAATGCCAATCAACCATCAAAACACTGGAAGTAGAACTGTGAACCAAGTGGTAGCGCACCAACCTTGAACAAAATAGCCAAGTGAGAGCTGTGAGGCTCTGAGTTCAATACTGGTGCACGTGTGCAGCATGTGCACACACATAAGCTTAAAAAGAGGAAACAGGGCAGGTGTGTGTAGGGAGCCTGGCCTGGGAGCCCAGGGCAGGGCAGAACAGGACAGCACCGTAGAAGCTCACTCTGTTGCACAGTGCTCCATCTGGCAGGAAGTCAGTGCTCTGTGAAGACCTGGGGGCTGGCAGGGACGGGGGGGGGGGGGGGGGGGGGGAAGGGCACGGCGCTCGGCAGCTGGCTGCCCATCCTCCCAGTGGTGGCAGTAATATGCCTGGTTTTTGGTTTTTGGTTTTTTTTTTTGTTGTTGGTTGTAGGGCCTGAACTCTGGGCCTGGGAGCTGTCCCTGAGCTCTTCAGCTCAAGGCTGGTTTTAACACCCATTGTGTTTTGGCTAGTGGATGAGGACAGAATTTGCAGGATGGGGCTTTGGGTAAGAACCCTTTCCCCGAAGAATGGAGTTAGCAAGAGGGCAGTTTTGTATTTTCTTTGTTTCTTTCTCCCTGCCTAGAGGCAGATGTGACCAGGATGGAGCGGCAGCAGCCTTTGTGTAACTATGAGATAGCCTTGTAGTTAAAAGCCCTGGGCTTTCAGGTGGAGCAGGAAAGACTCCCGGCCTGGTCACCTGGATGAGTCCATGAAGTTGTGAGACCCTGGGAGCCAGAGGGAAAAATAAATCCTACTCTATGTTCCTGATGCACCCGCCGTCTTCTGTTGGCGGTGCGGCCTGAGGCCAGGGGCATCTGGGGCAGAGGGAAGGGCCTGGCTCCCACCCCTGGGTCTGACCTTTGGCCATCTTGGTCCCTTTGTCCTGTGGTACTTCAGTGACTGAAAAATTGTTCATGATGTCCTGGACGGTGGCCCCTGGGGAGACACAGAAAGTCAATGACTCACATGGCACCGGGTTCCAGCGCCTTTGTGTTCTTCCCCAACACCTGCTGCCCAAAGGTGCAGAAGCTGTCTGGTCTGGGTGGACCAGAATGCTCCCTGCACATAAGAGCTACACACTCACACCGCTAGGACGATGATTGAGTCCACCTTAGATGCGTCTTACCCTGTTTTAAAGTTTTGGTGGTTAGCCGGGCACAGTGGCCCACACCTGTAATTCCAGCTACTCAGGAGGCTGAGATCTGAGGATCAGGGTTCAAAGCCAGCCTGGGCAGGACAGTCCATGAGACTCTTATCTCCAATAAATTACTCAGAAAAAAAAAAAAGAGCCAGACGTGGCATTTTGGCTCAAGTGGTAGAGCGCTAGCCTTGAACAAAAGCAGCTCAGGGACAGAACCCAGGCCCTGAGTTCAAGCCCCAGAACTGGCCAAAAAAAAAAAGTGTTGTTTTTTTACAGTGCATCTGCACGTGAGCACCCTGCGCCGGCGCTGCGCTGGGCAGGGTGAGATTTTGTTTTCAGCATTTGCAGTTCTCAAGCTTTCCAGCTGCTCCGTGGATCACTCCCTCGCTTCTTTCTGGAAGCAAGTCCCCGTGACAGGCGCTGCGGGTCTCCCCACGCCGTCTCCCTGTGCTGGCCCTGCACCAGGCTGCCCCAGCTAACTCTCATCCCTGGCACCCTGCACCCTCTCTCTGCTTTGCCCTCTTTCCAGCCAGACACCCGCCCGGTGCCGGCCTCCCTTTCTTTGCTGCCTTCTGCCCTGCCCCTGCCGCTCCTGCCCCTGCCGCTCCTGTGCTCACCCTCCACATCCACCTCCCACCTGCCCTGCCCCTGCCGCTCTGGAGGTGGCACTGGGGTTACAGCTGTCCTGTGGAAATCTCTGCTCTGCTCTGTGTGTGTGTGTGTGTGTGTGTGTACTGGGGCTTGAACCCAGATCCCTGCACTCTTGTTTAGCTTTTTTGCTCAAGGCTGGTGCTCTACCACTTGAGCCATAGCCCCATTTCTGAACTTTGGTGGTTAATTGGAAACAAGAACCTCATAGACTTTCCAGGATCCATAGCTCTCAGCCTCTTGAGCAGGTAGCTAGGATTATAGGTGAGAGTCACTACACCAGCTTCTGCCTTCTTTTATGTATGTGGACAGTCAACTCTCCAGCAGGGGAGGGCCCGGGGGCACTGGCCACTTCCAAGGTGTCCCCAAGGGGCAGGGTGGGGCTGTCTTCACAGGGGGGCTGAAGATGAACCTTCTGAACTACGGACTTCTTTCTATGTCAAAAACAAATTAAGTTCAAATTTAAAAGCAAAAGAGTGGTGAGCACACAGATAGCACTGCACAGACGCCCTTCCCAGAGCCCCAGAGCCGTCCACCATGAGCGCCGGGCAGCGAGCATGTCACTGGGCTAGAAAGAGGCCTTGCATGGAGAGCGTGGGCTCAGAGGCCAGGGCAGCCGCCACGGTCCCACAGCCAGCCGGGCAGCCGTGGCTGGTGGAGAGCAGGGAGGGGCGCGCTTCTTCATGGCCTGCTACAGTCAGAACCGTCCCCCTGCCCCCCAATCCTGAGGCTTCAGCACCATAGAACCTGGAACGTAGATCATTGCAGATGTGGCCGCCAAAGCTGAGGTTGTTGTGGAATGGGCCCTGACCCGACATCACCAGGGGGCTGAACTCAAGATGCCCACACAGGCCACACCACAGGGCCCTGAGGAGGCACACAGAGATGCCAGCGGCCGGAACACAGGAGCGCGCGGCACAGCCTGCCCCCTGAGCCTCAGGAGGCTCCACCTGCCCACAGCTTGCTCTTCAGCTTCCAGCCCCCCAGAACTAGGAGACCACCCACTCCTATTGCTTCAGCCTTCCAGCCTAGGGTGGGCCAAGAAACTCCTGAGCAAGTTCGCATCTAGGGAACGGGGCCTATCTGCCCCGGCTGCAGACTTAGAGCCTCCTGGGGTGAGTCTCTCCTCTCTGTCTCTGGCCTGGACCCTGAGAGCCCATCCTCCCCCAAGCCCACACTTACTGTTGGGGGCCAAGTTTTTGACCACCTCAGACAGTATCTTGGACATCTTGGCCGAGGTCCCGTGGGTTGATGGAAAACTTGGCATTGTTGAAGGAGATTCTGGCCTGGGGAGGGACATGGCGCTTGAGGAGGGGCCCGCATGGCCCCCAGCCCCTCGCCCCTGCCCAGGGCCTCACCATGTGCTCCGTGTCCCCCATTCTGCCGCACACTCTCCCCTGGCACCAGCTTTGCTCTGCTTCGGAGCCTTTGTGCTTGCAGCTTCCTCAGCCATGAACCGCCCCCCCCCCTTCCCACTCAGACCGGCTCGAGTCCTCTGCAGGGCCTCCCCTCCCCCTCCCCGTGTCCCGCACCCCGCTTCTCTGCAGTCACCACCACAGGGATATCACGGCACAAAAATCGGTTTATTGTGGATTGCCCAGAGCCTAATAAGCTCCAGACAGAGGGGTACGCCGGTTCGCTGGCTTGTTTCTATGCCAGTCCTGGGGCTTGAAATCAGGGCCTGGGCGCTGTCCCTGGCCTTGTCTGCTCAAGGCCGGCGCTCCACCCCTCGAGCCAGCGCCACTTCCGGTCTCAGGGCTGGCTTTGAGCCCTGATCCTCAGATCTCAGCCTCCTGAGCAGCTGGGATGACCGGCGCGGGCCCGGCTCAGGAGTCTCGGGCCATCAAGGCCGCGGAGGGGGGCTCCTCAGCGGCAGGCTGACGAGGCGCGGGGCGGTGCGCGCTCTCCCCGCGGGCGCAGGCCGCGAGGCCGCCGGGCCCCTCCGCCCCGTCGCCGGGCCTCCCCGCCTCCCTCCGGGGACAGCCCCTAGGAGAGCAGCCCAGGCGCCCGGCGCGGCCCGGCGCGGGCCCGGGGGACGGGGCTGGGCGCGCAGGTGGCCGGCGATGTGGACCACGGGAGGACGCAGGGGCGGAGCCTCGACGGGGGCCCCGGCGGTGGCCTCGGCCTCGCGCCCCGCCCCCCGCCCCGCGCGCACCGCACACCCGGCCCCGCGCACCCACCGGCCGCCCGCACCCAGACAGGCTCCGAAGCCTCCGCGCCGCCGCCCGGGGCTCCGCTCCGCACGTCTGCGTTTGCGTCGCCCGGGCAACCGCTCTGTGACGCCGCCGGCCTCGGGGCGGGGCGTGGGCGGGACGGGGCGCGGCGCGCGCGGGGCCGGAGACGCGGCCGGGCGGGGTCTCCGCGGCCGGGCCCCGGGCCCCGACCCCGGCCCCGGGCCCCGACCCCGGCCCCGGGCTCCGACCCCGGCCCCGGCGCGCGCGCGCAACACGTGCGGAGCGGAGCGGAGCCGCGCCGGCCACCCCGGCTCCACCCGGGCTCCTCGGGAGGCTGGGGTCCGCGGGCGGGGACCTGGGCCCGGGCGGGAAAGTCTCCCGCTGGGCACCAACAAAGACGGGAGCGGGGCTGTGGCTCGAGCGGCAGAGCGCCAGCCTGGGCCGAGCAGCCGGACCCCGCGTTCCCGCCCCCGGCCCGCGGGGGCGCTGGCGCCGGACCCGCGGGGCGCACGCGCGTGCCCGCCTCGCCGGCGTGCCCGGTGCGGTGCCCTGCCGCCCGTTTTACCGTCTCGGACGCTTTTCCTCCAGCCGTGCCTCCAAAGCCCGTGCTGCGCACCGCTGCGTGCGGAGGCGAGCGCGGGCGGGGCCCGCGGCCCGCGGGGGTTCGCAGGGTTCGCGTGGGTTCTCGAGGGTTCGCGTGGCTTCCGCTCTGACCGACGTCCCCAGGGCGATGGGAGTAAGAATTAAAGTAGCCTAGCCAGGCGGGATGGTGCGGCACCCTGCAGTCCAGGGGTCAAGCTGGGGAGTGTGTGTCTGTCTGTCGGTCTGTCGGTCTGTGCGCGCGCACATAGGGGCGCGTGCCTCGAACTCAGGGCCTAGGCACAGTCCCGAGCTTTTGTGCTCCCGATCTGCGCTCCACCGCTTGAGCGGGGCTGAGGCCGGCACGCGGTGCGGGGAGGGGGGGGGGGGTCCCGGGAACGTGCCCAACCAGGCCCAGAGTGCGGGCAGAGGTGAAGGGGAGGGCGAGGCGGGCGGGAGCCGCGGGGCTGGAGGACGGACGCAGCCGGCGTCGCGGGCGGAGCGTCCCAGGCCGGGACCTGAAGCAGGCCACACTCCAGGCATGGCCCGTGGAACGAGGAGACCTGCACTGCAGACCCGCCCTGCCGGCTGGAGCCCGCACGCCCCGGCCCGGCCCGGAGCCCGCAGACCCCCGCCCACCAGCCCGGGCCCGCACACCCCCTCCCACCAGCCCGGGCCCGCACACCCCCTCCCACCAGCCCGGGGCCCGCAGACCCCCCTCCCACCAGCCCGGGCCCGCACACCCCCCTCCCACCAGCCCGGGCCCGCACACCCCCTCCCACCAGCCCGGGCCCGCACACCCCCTCCCACCAGCCCGGGGCCCGCAGACCCCCCTCCCACCAGCCCGGGCCCGCACACCCCCCTCCCACCAGCCCGGGCCCGCACACCCCCTCCCACCAGCCCGGGGGCCCGCACACCCCCGCCCGCCAGCCCGGGCCCGCACACCCCCCCTCCCACCGCTCGCCAGCCCGGGGCCCGCAGACCCCCGCCCGCCAGCCTGGAAGCTGCAGATCTCATCTGACTTCTGAGCTGCCGCTTTTCAAGGCCCCAGAGGCTCAGGCCTCTCCGGCAGTGGCCAAGTGCCCAGCGCTGCGTGAGAGCCGTGTGCTGCTGCAGAGTGTCCAGAGGCGCGGAAGCAAGGCCCAGCCAGGCCTGGCCCGACGAAGGCCCCAGCCAGGCGGCTGCAGAGGCCCTGGCCTTGAGTTAGGAGAGGGGTGAGAGGAGAGCAGCGGGAAGACCGTGGCTTTGGGGTCCTCTGCACAGGGACCCCGTGATTCCCAGCACTGCGGGAGGAGCAGGAGCTGGCATGGGGCTGCAGGTACGCCGTGGGATCAGGACGCATCACCCTGTCCCTGTCTCGCCTTGCCCTGCCCTTGCTCCCCTTGGCACCAGGGAGTAAGGCACCTCACCAGGGTGCTGGAGGGGCAGAGTAGTGGCTGCTCGAGGAGCCAGCAAGGTGAGCAGGGCGGAGAGGGCAGGGCAGGGCCTGGTACCCACACCAGTCCCCTGGGATGAGGATGGGGAATGGAGCTAAGCAAAAACCAAGTGTGTGTTACAATCACTTGGGTTTAAAGAATGGGCTCATTAGCTGCTCATCCAAGGAACCTGAGGCAGGTTAGCCATAGGGAAGTAAAGCCGAACTCCCCTTAACCACACTCCAGCCCACATTTCCTTCACCACCTGCTCACTCGCTCGCCCCCTCCTTCCCTTGCTTTACCACTTCACATTTGCGTGTGTGTGTGTGTGTGTGTGTGTGTGTGTCCATTTATTTCTTCGTTGGAGATGCCAAAGCTCTGGGATCATTGTTCACCTCCCGGACCACCCACCCCACTCACCAGAAACAGCAATGAGCAAGTCAGCACACAGTAGAACCTGCACAGCACATTTATTGCAGCAGTGTTAATGACAGCCAAAGCGTGGCTGCCCGTCCTCGAATGGATAAAGAAAATACAGCATACACGCACCATGACTTGGGCTGGAAGCCATCACGGTGAGAGAGGTAAGCTCAGCGGAAGCAAGCGAGCCCAGCATGCGCTCTCACACGCAGAAGCCAGCGCCTAAGAAAACCGGCTTACCCCGGCGGCCAGGTAGGAGGGGGCAGGGAAAGGGGGGAGAGTGTGACCGAAGAACACTGTACGCAAGATGAAATGGACTTAACAGTTGCAGGAAAAATTTAAAAGTGTGGGAAAGCCAGGCTCACCTCCGTAACCCTAATTTCCCAGGAGGTGGAGGTCTGAGGATTGAGGTTCAAAGTGAGCGCAGGCAGGAAAGTCTGTGACACGCTTATTGGATGGACATTAACTACCCAAAAGTCAGAAATGGAGCTGTGGCCCAAGTGGTAGAGTTCCAGCCTTAGTTGACAAAGCTAAGCGACAGTGCTCAGGCCCTGAGTTCAAGCCCCAGTACTGGCACAATAAGGGGTGGGTGGTTAGGGATGGGATAGGAAAGAACAATACAAGGGGTTAAACATGATTAGAGTATATTCACATATGGGAATATCAGGTGCACCACTCATCATACAATTGGTGTGTGCTAATAAAAGTTGAACTCACGTTGGTGCGTAGCATCTCCGGGGAAAAGGTCACGGCTGTGGCCTTGGGGCTTGGTGGAGAGAGCTGGCTTTGGTGTCTGGCCTGGAGACTGTGAATTGTTTAGGGAGGGAGCCTGTGTGCGTGGAGCCACCATGCCCTCTGTGGGCCAGGGCCGCTCCTGGCATCCTTGAGCTGGGCCACAGGCTCACACTGGGGTTGTCTTTGAACTGGGAAGAGCCAACTCCAGCATCTCTGAGAGGCATAATGTGAGCAATGTAAGGGTCCAGGCCCACAGCAGGTGGCAGACTTTCCTGCCTGGGCTGCAGCGAACCCTGCACCCCTACCTGCTGGCCTCGGGTTCCTGCCTGCCGTGGCCATACCTCAGACAAGCTGGCCTCCTCTTGGGACATTTGCACATGCTGGGCTGGAGGCCAGGATGCTCTTATGACCCTGGGCCTGGCGGGGTCCTCCCATCCTTCAGGCCTCCGCGCAGATGCCGGTGAAGAAAAGCCTGTGGTGGTGTGTCATTCTCAGCCCGACTTTCCTCATCAGCTGAGGAGCTGGCACACAGGCTCCGCCTTTATCGTAAGTACCCACATCAGGGCTGCCTGACTGCCCTCTCCCCAGAGCAGAGCCTGCCGTGAGGTCCTGTCCCACACCTGCCAGCCTGGGACCACCTTTCCTGCCCCTCCAGCCCTGGTCCTCACTGCCAAGAGCCCACGGCAGGGAGTTTCCTGCTCCCTGCAGCCCTTCCTTCCTAGCAGCTGAGCCTCAGACTTTGTCCCGCTGGGGAATCTGGGCCAGTGCCTAAGCGCAGAAGAGAGTAGTGTGCCAGGAGTGCTGGTCTGGAGTCCCATGTTCACTCCAGATGTGCACCCGTGTCTGTGTGTGTGTGTGCCCACGCGGCGTGTGCATGTGCACCCGTGTCTGTGTGTGAGCCTATG